GGGGGCAGTGCCTGGCCCTCGCCCCTCTGGCCGGCGGAGGGAGCGGGGCCGGGGAGCCCGGGAAGAGGTTCTGCCGCTGCTCCGTCCCCCCCGGTGAGTCCCCCCGAGATTCGTGAGCGTATGCTGCTAGAGGAACACAGAAACTATACTCCGTGTGTGTATACATACATACACTCGGCTACGTACGTACTCACACGCCTGCGTCCGTGTACGCGCGTCTAAGCACGCGCACGTACCTAAACGCACACGCATATATGTACTTAACATACATCTACTTTTAGGTACGTGCTTAGTACACAAACAAGTGTACGTGTGTATGTATATACACACGTAAACACAGAAACTATACTCCGTGTGTGTATACATACATACACTCGGCTACGTACGTACTCACACGCCTGCGTCCGTGTACGCGCGTCTAAGCACGCGCACGTACCTAAACGCACACGCATATATGTACTTAACATACATCTACTTTTAGGTACGTGCTTAGTACACAAACAAGTGTACGTGTGTATGTATATACACACGTATGAGTGCATAGAAACATAGATAGTTTTTCACGCATGGATGTACGCGCATGAACACGCGTGTACTCTTCTTTACACGCACACGTGTGTACATTTACGCACATACGTGTGCAGAAATATATTTACACACACACGTACACATGCATGCTTACAAGTACATATGTAAGTATTCTTGTGTGGGTAAGTATAGGGTAAGGGGCACAGTAACTATAAGTGGAGTGACTATAGTGGAGCGTGTGTGCATATAAAGGGAAATGAGAAGGAAATATTTTCAAGTTATTCTGAACTTGATAAACCAAATGGACTGGGTCAGTTACTCTAACACCGGGACATCGCCTCTCCGCGTGCCTCCGTGAAGTTCCCGACATTGTGCTTTCCGTTCGCAATTTTAAAGGGGGGGAAAAAATCCTACTCTTTACAGAACAGTGGGGAAAAAAAAAAAAAAATGAAAAAAAGAGAGAAAAACAAGGCAGTCGTTTTCTGTTGCTAGATGTACTTTCGAGAGAAATTAAAAATACTAACAAACCCGTCACTGAGAAAAGGCTCTCTGGATTACAGATCACTCCTCTTTTCCTTATCGAGCAATCGTGCGAACTGCACAGGCTCGTACGGGATCAAGAGACGCGCCGAGGGACAGTATTTTTTCTACCAGGATCAAAACGACCACTGATCGCAGCCCGTAAACTGCTTCGGGTGGCAATTTCCGCCCCTGAATCCCGACTTTTCCTCC